CCTAGAGATGTCTTTGAGCTTGCTACTGACTGAGACAACACCTAAGTTTCAAAAGTGAACCAAGTGGATTTTTTTTTTAAAGAATGGTTAAAAATTATTGGGCAGAAATGTCATGATGCCTCTCTCCCATATCACTGCCAATTTATCTAAGAAAGAGTAATAGCTATGAAGTTGGAAATTTGTTCCCACATACTCTCTCAAATTCAGAAAAATGGGGGACAGATGATATTCTGACAGCTAACTTTCCCACTTAAGTCTCTGCCACTCTCAATCTTTGTCAAAATGGCTTTCTTATAATTAAGAATCATGGTTCTCAGAGGAGACAAGTGGCAACTCAATAGCTCAAAACCTGCTGAAAAATTCCATTGCATACTGAAGCACCCACACACTTGAGTATTCTAACCCATCTCTCCAATCTCAAAGGCTTTGCTTAGTGAGGAAAGCAAGAAAACCATTTATACAAGAACACTTTAAGTAGGTGTTCTCATTCTTCAGTGATAATTACTTGAGTTACTACCTTGTACCTTTCCAATAAAGAAAAGGATATTTTTATGAGAAGGAAATGAGTTCATTTCTTAACTCTAGGTAGATGAAATCCTTCATGTGTGTTCATCTAGTAGAAGTTATTACTAAGATCGATGTTCTTAATATATACACTATAAGGAAGATCCAGTTTTTACTACAGAAATCCTGCTGCTTTACCACCCTAACAGATATGTAACTTTTCCTCAAATGGTCTCAGAAAAGAAGCTAAGCTTACATGTAAGAGTTTTTAATTGTATTTGATCTATCTACAATTTAAAGAGCTTCAGTCTCAAAGCATATGCTTATAAGATTTGTCTTTTCTTTTCACAACTTGTATTCATTAAAGGGAAATGGGTTTCATTCTCCTAGAGCTAAAAGAGATGATATAATTCAAAACATTAAATAATTAGTTATTAAAAAGTTGCCTAAAAATATGATGGGTAAAATTCATGCATGCACTCATTCAGTAAGTACACTATAACATGCGTGTGGCATGTTCTAGAGATAATGAGATCTTAGCTCTAACCTCCTCTATAATCCTAATTATTACAACAGCATAGCAATATTTCTAGACAATTGAAGATTAAAAAATAATTCTGGACCAAGCTATTTGTTTCTGTTGAAGGCAACAAAGGAAGTATCCTAAACATTCAAGTTTCACAAAATATACCTCCAAAGTACTTTGATCTTAGAAACTATTGGGAAGTCAGGAAAGAAACAACATTTAGAAAGACAGAAGTCTTGTTATAAAAGACATGACAAAACTTCCGACCTTTTACTGTCTGTACTCTGTGTATGCCTGTCCTCCTGTTAACAAGAAAATGTCCTTACCCCTAAAATAAACACCCATTTCCTCACCATCTCAAAGAATTTTTTCTGTAATTAATGTGTCTCTTTTCTTGCATTATTTTCAACAGCAAACAAACATGGTTTGTATCATCCATCAAAAAATATGTATTTTGGGGGCAGAATGTGTTATTGTTCCCAAGTATTCACTACTTCTTCCTTAAAAGACAAGTGTACACGCCTACCCATTGCCATGTCAGGTGCAGTGCCTTCTGCAGGAGGAGTATACTTTTCTACCTCATTGACATTGAGCTTAGCCCTTCTCTGCGTCCCTGACATTTGCTTTGGTCAATGGTATGTGAACAGACAACACATGACAAATGCAAGCTGAAGACTTGAGACATAGTGCACTTCTGTGTTTTGCTCCTTCCCTCATCCATCAAAGGGGCATATCCTAGCTTGGGAGAACTCTCAGCTTGTGCCCAGAAATCAGAAGACTCGTGGTGCAGGGCCATGGCTGACTAGCTACCGACACGTAATGTGATCAAGCTTTCTTAGGATTTTGTTAGCTTTTGTCATTGCAGTATAATCCCACTTACCTTTACCCATCTGTATTTCTTTGTTCTACTTTCTAGAAAAATACTTGAAAAAACTACCTAAATGAATATAGTTCTGCTTCTTTGCCTTCTATTCTACTCTTAATCCTCTATAATTGGGCTTCTTCCCACCCCTACCCCCAACTCAATTCCATGGAAACCACTTTTATCAAGGTGTTTCCTACATTTCCAACTCAAATGATCATTTCTTTATCCTCATCTAGCTTGACCTCTTGGCAGCATGTACCATGGCTGTCCACCCCCTTCCTGGAAAGTTCCCATCTCTTGATTTCTTTCTATTTACCTTCCACTTCACTCTTCTCAACCACTTTTGCTAGTTTCCTCTCTTCTCTTAAATCACTGAAGTGTGAGTACATCAAATCTTATCTTTGGTCTTATTTCCTGTCCAAATATTTTCCCAAATGATCTCATCTGAATCTTGGTTTTAAATAGAGCCTAAATGAAGTAATTCTCTAGCCCTGGCCTCTCAATTTAGTTCGAAATTCATCAATCCAATTATTTACTTGACATTCTCACGTGCGTGTCTATAGGCATTTCAATCTAAACTTGGCCAAAATAGAACTGTTGGTTTTTCCTAACTGACAGATATTTCCCTCCCACACTCCTCTCAATCTCAGCAAGTGTCATCACTGTTACGGACTGAATTTTGGGCCTCCAAAATTTATACGTTGAAATCCTAACTCCCAGTGTAATGGTAACAGGAGGTGGAGGCTTTGGAAGGTAATTAGGTCATGAGAGTAGAGGCCTCATGGATGAGATTAGTGCCCTCATAAGAGGAGACATGAGAGAGCTTGCTTCCTCTCTGTCTCCTCTCTGCCACATGAGAATGCACAGAGAAGACAGCTGTCTGCAAATCGGGAAGAGTCTTTTCACCAGACATTGGCTCTAACAGTGCTTTCATCTTGGACTTCCCAGCCTCTAGGACTGTGAGAGATAAATGTTTGTTTTTTAAGCCACCTAGACCGTGGTACTTTTGTTATAGCAACCCAAGATGACTAAGACAATGGTGCACATGGTTGATTAAGCCAAAAACAGAGATGAGGATGATGTATCTACGAGCCAAGGAATGCTGAAGATTACCAGCAAGCCACCAGAAGCTAGGTAAGCGGCATGTACCAGTTCTTCCTAACACCTCTCAGAAGGAACCAACTCTGCTGACACCTTCATCTCTTACTTCTGGCCTCCAGAACTGTGAAATAATAAATTTCTGTAATTGAAGCTCAACTAGATTGTAGTACCTTGTTACAGAAGTCCTAGCAAACTAATATGAGTCTCCATCCTGCCAAGTTATTAGTAGATTCAGTCACAACTGTGAGAAACATTTTCCCCACCCTCCATTCCCCCCTCCCCCAGAAGTCTTTTCAGGTTCAAAAGTGAAGGCCAGGCCAAGCCAAGGAGTTGATCCTGGGAAAGTGAGTCTAGGAAAAAATTACCACCCTTTGACCAGCTTATCTATGGATCCCACGCTCTGGACACATCACTATTTCCTTCCAAGATCCTACCCCCTTGTGTGCTACTAAGCTTTAGGGCCCTTCTCTGTAATACACTTGGACTCGCCATCCTCTGCCCTATTTCCATTCTAGGGAAGCTCTCATCTCTCTCTTGTTTCTGCTTCTTTTTCTCAATAACAATCACAAAAGCCAAGTAGAAAAATTGCCTTCAAGCAACTTTTGCCTTCAGCTTAATAAATGTCCCTGAGAGAAAGAACACAAAAGACTTGCCTACTTCTGAAAAGAGAGATCAAAATTTCATCAGTGTCATACATATAGCTCCTAGTCATTCTGATTCTTTCACATTAGTCAAAACAAATGTACTAGTTGAGATACTAGTTAGTATCTCAATAATTTATCCTACCAACCAGAGATGTCCAGGCAAGACTTATTTAACTAGGTATCAGCTTCATGATACAGATGGTGTCATACCAAGATGGTCTCACCCTGTGACAACCTCACAACTAGAATCCAGTTGTCTCATAATCAGAATACTAGCCGGGCCATAATATAGGAAATCCTTCAAAGGATTCAACAAGCTGCAGAGCAGAAAAAATTCAAGTTGTTTCTGGACACCCAGGCATATCTTCTGCCTCCTCCCACACTGTTTCTTCCTCTTTCACCATCTTATTTTTGAACTTTTAGCAAATAGTATATAATTATAAGAGATTAAATGGCATGCTCTACATGGTATAAATACCTACAAAACCAGACGACACAACGTCATCTAAAGGACAAAGCTGGCTTATAAATCCTTGCAGTCTTCTTCCCAGTGACTACTTCCTCCTGATCGCTACTTCCCAGGATACCCAACACCCCACAATGGAGGTATTATTATTCCCACTTTGTAGGTGTATAAATTGAGGCTTTGACCTGTTAGGCAACTTCCTGTGACCACTAACAAGGGTCAGAGCCAGGATTAGAACCTAGGTCAGTCTGACTTTCAATGAAAGCCATTCATTCTAGAGTATTCCAAAGCTCCTATACATGTCATGTCGTTTTTTTGCAATGTTGCAGATGGCGTGGTCATAAGCACGAGAGGTAAAAATTATAACGGAGGATAATTCATCCTTTCTCGATCTATATCCACTTCAGATTCTCCAAGCCCTGATACTCACCCTCCTCAGCAAATCCACTCTAAGGAAAAAATATGTATCTGTCATTTATATATTACAATGAATTTCCACCCATAATCCTGACTTTGGAGCTGCAGAGGACGACAGAAATCATCTTTTCCGAACACACTCATTTTAGAGATGTGGAGACCAAGCCACAGAAAGGTTAAGTGACTTACCTGAGTTCACAGAGCTAATTATCTACAGAGCAGAGCCCAGAGTTCTGTCTCCTGACTCCCAACTCGGGACTCTATCTACTAGATCTTCATAAAGGTGTTTTCCATCACAATTTTCAAAGGAAGGGCTCTGACCCCAAAGGAATTTCAGACATCAGGGACTAACAGAGAAAGCAAATTGAAAGACAGGAGCCCTTCATAAACCCCTTAAACAACACTTGCAGCCAGCTGCTTACCCTCTCCTTGTGTGAGACCAGCCCTGCTGAGGTGAGCACAGGATATCTCTCTTACCTGACAACACTACGCAGGAATGTCTTCTGTGCCATTCCCTCCACATTCTTCCCGCTTCCTTTGAAAACAGCAAGCCGCTCTTCCCTTTCTTCTTGCCCCCAAGAGGAATCAACACAATCTTTGTATCAAGGCCATACTGGAAGCCTCCACTGTGTAAAAACAACAAGAATAAAGTTTCAAATTGATCATTTCTAGTTGCTGAAAGAAGAAAAGAATAGACTTTCCCTTCCTGATTATGTTTATTATCATAGATTTCAATTTGTTTCAAATTACAAGGAAAAGTAGATTGAAACCCATTGCCAATCCCCAGGTGCAGCATTTCATTTTTTAAAATCCGTATGAAACGGAAGCCATTTTTTGTTAAGTGCTTTTGGCTCCAGTCCTAAAGCACTAAGGGTATTACGCTGCATTTACTCATCCAGACAGTCAATCATATTCGGCCTCTACTTGTTTTTACCTTCAGTTCTTATGTCCTACATAAACATGAGGCTCTGAATGCTGGTGGTTTTGAGAGCTTCTGGCCTGTCAAAATAGCTAGCTGTACGTAGGCTGCTTGGGACTAGGTATTTATAGTTGTTTTTCTGGGTCTGTATCTACAAAGACCAATCAAGGTGGAGGGTGAATCAGATCATCTGGATACTTCTAGGGGAAAAAATTGTGAAAAAACAGAAATGGCATTTAGAAAAGAGAGAAAAACCGCATGGGCCTGACTATTCAAATTGGCTGTCCTTATCATTCTAGTTTCCTGTGTAATGGTTCACTTTCTGAAATAGTACATGGAGGTACATGAAAGTCAGAACAAGGAGACTAAAAAGTCACAGCTGGAAGAAACTAACTAAGCAGCTAATTCACCATCCTTGTGTTACAAATGACACAACTAGAGCCTAGAGAAAAGAAACAGTTAGACCTGTATCATAGCCTAACTCACAGCGCTGAGATTTAAAACTTTATGTCCTAACTCAATTTCTATGCTTTATAACACTGATATCTTACTTTGGATTTTCTCAAAAGCAGAGCATGAGAAAAGGACTGAACGCAGGTGGTTTATTTTGGAAGTAATCACAAGAAATAGGAGCAAAGAAACAGGAAGATGAGGTAGGGAAGGAGGGAAAAAAAATGATTCAGCATTGATCTTGTTACTACTGTGGACTCTTAGCCCAATCTCACTGGAGACCCTCTAGAATTAGGGAGTGTGCCTAAGAAATGTGCCTCTAGGTGGAAAGCCAGGAAATGTATCTATCATCCCAGTGAAAGGTTGCCCCCAGAAGCATAAGCTTCCCTGATTTTCAGGCTGCCTATGTCTGTGCTAAGCAAACCAACTGACTTGAGAGAAATCCCAGGAACAGAAAAGCAAAGAGACACAGCTGGATGCTTGAGTTGGACCACATAAGGCAACTTTGCAGCACAGCCGCAACTGCAATCTCATGGAACTAGGCGTTGTGTCACAGGCCACTAAAACACCTACTACCAGTGGGTTGTAATATATGTTGCTTAGAGCTCTGTTCATCAAAAGAAGTATTTAAAAGCAAGATATTTTAAAAAAATAAAAGAAAGAAAGAAAGACGGAAAGAAGGAAAGAAAGACAGACAGACAGACACACACACACAAAAGAAATACATACCAAAAAAAAAAAAGAGGCAAACCACAGAGCAGGAAATGTTATTTGCAATATATGTAAAATTTGTAAACAGCATATATAAAAGAACTTCTGCAAAATAATAAAAATAATAGAAATAATGGAATAGAAAAAATGGGCACAAAATGTACATCAGCACTTTCCAAAAGAATATATCTGCATGGCCAGTAAATGTTTGAAAAGCTGTTGAATTTTATTAGTTACCAAAGAAATGCAAGTTTAAACCACAATGAAATACTACTGCATAACTACCAAATGGCAATACTTAAAAGACTGACAATGCCAAGGATTGATGAAGGTGGGGGACAACTACAATTTTCATATTGTTATTAAGTATAAATTTGGAAAATTGTTCAGTAGTATTTACAAAAACTGAACATACACGTACACTTTGACTCAATCATTTCATTGCTTTGTATTTACTCACCCAACAAAAATGCATACATATTTGGGTACAAAAAGACATGTGGATCATGGGCATAGCACAATATTTATATAGTCAAATAACCTAAATGTCTATCACAATAAAACAGATAAATAAACCATGGTGTATTAATGCAATGAAATACTGTACAACAATGAGAATGAATAAAATACAATCACATGGGGCAGCATAAATGAATTTCACAACTATAAACAAACAAAGCTGTTGACAAAAAAGTACCTTGGGTGTGATTCCATTCATTTAAAAGTCAAAAACAGGAAAAACTGACTAATGATTATAGCAATCAGGAGAGTTGATTCTGGGTGTGAAAGAGTGTATGAAGAGGGTTTCAAGAGTGCTGATAAAGTTCATTCTGATCTGGGTGATGGTGAAATAGGCGTGTTCACTTTGCGGAAATTCATTAATTTTAACTCTTGCATAAAATACACAGATGGATTCTGTTAATTAATTGTCCTTAAATATGTATCATTCATAACCTTGAAGTCATAGTAATTACTAATCTATGATGCTAATTCAGTGACACCAATTTTGAAAGTGTCTCTTCTTTCTTAATATTTAAGATTATTAATTAATGTTGATTAGCAAATGGTTGTTTTATAGCTAGAACATATAATTGTGCTACAATTCTTCGGTATTCTAACTCTGTCCAAAAGACTGTATGAAGGTACAGAACCTCTTTTTCCCTTGCATTTTTGTAGACAACACAAATAGCATACTCAGAAAAATTTGGGTTTCTCATATATCTCTGATACTATTGATAAGAAATCTGCAATACATTTGGTTAAAAACAGAATGGTGGGAGGGAAAAAAATCAGTGATGCGTCCAGAAGACAGTACTCTTCTAGGAAACTCTGTCTTACTTTCAAACATGTCATCAGTCTGTACAAGTTATTGTCAGGAACTGGTCTATCTTTATAACAAGCAGCAACATTAAAGGAACCTGTTACTGTTCAAATTTGGAGATCACCAAGGTGAGAGAAATCAAGATGGGGATTATATGAAGGACAACTTGTACAAAAAGTAAACAAAATGTCTCAGAAGGGCACTATGACCCAATGGAATGTTACTTGATAAACACGCAAAATGATAGATTCATTATCCAGTTTTCTCTCCAGTTAGAATGTCTATGTTAATGAAGTATGTTGTTGTGATCCCCAAGGGTATGAAGAGCAACATTAGATAATTAAGCAAAAGCAAAATGCTAAAGAAACTGAAATAATATGACTACTCATGCTTTTCAGCAGAAATTATTTCTGGTGTTAATATTAGAATGACCTAAAAAAATTCTCAGAGAATAAAAAATTTAGAAGTGAAATATCATTGTAGCAAATAAGTAAGGTACCTTGCCCAAGGTCACACAGCCAAACAGTGAAAAACAAATAGAACCTGTTAGCAGTAACAGGCATTACTCAGTAGTTTTGACCTCCCAGAGATCAGCAGACAAAAAAAGGGGTACATCTAGGTATAAAGTACTTTCTTCATACTATTTCATATGGGTAGGTAAGACGACATCACAAACCCTATCCAAAGGAGTAATACATAATGTGCACCCCTCCACACACCTTTTTACTATAGGTATATAAGTGTACAAAGAGATAGATAAATAGATGTTATATACCATATTCCACACATAGTTACATCTTTCCCAACCCACTCCCAGTTCTGTGCCCTTCCCCCAACCATAACTGTCACAAACCACATCCCATAAAAAGCAGAGGAGAAGCTATTATCAAGAGAGGCAAAGAGGGGAGCTTTTGATAACTCTTTTCAAAAATCTAATGATCTTATAGAAGACCAACATTGTTATAACACTATCCAGTCAGAATCAAAAAATGTTCCCAGATGAATCCAGATGGTTCCAACCCCTCTAGATCAATCAAAGATATCACTGAGCTTCTTATGTGGCTTCCATAGTATTTAAAAGATATAATTATGGTAACCCCCAAATTATATTAATCTTACATAGCAAAGATAGGGGCAATTCCAGCTCTAACTAAATTATTAACTCCTCATCACCAAAAGAGATTGTAAAAATGGTTTAAAACCAAAAGTTCTATAGAAAGTAATACTAGTGATTAAAAAAATGCAAGATATTACCAAGATGTAAAAGTATATTAAAGAGAATGAAGAGGAACCAAAAGTTCACCAAAGTAGGCTTGGAATGTCTGCTGGTCCAGAATTTTGTGTCCTAAGCTTGTTGCCCATTAGAGTTCCTCTTTATTCTTTTTGAATATTTCCATGTAAACTGTTCAGTAGAATTCATTTCCCCACTCTTAACCTGCTGTTCTTTATGCTTCATCTTGCTGCTCTTCCCCTTTTATCTGTTCAAGATTAATGTTAGTCAATGTTAGATTGTTCTGCCATTTAAAATTTTAAACATGAAAAGAGTTCAGTGGGAAAGAGATAATTAAGGATATTTTGCTTGAATTATCAGGATAATTTCCTCAATGATCTCCTCCACAAAATACATGGACTTCACCTTATTAAAACTGTATCTTATTATTAAATCACCTCCTATAACCCACAATATATGAACTACTGAAGATCCAGTCTGAATCTTCCTGCCTTTTTGGTAAATGACACCACCATAAACTAGCTTAAGAAAAATAAGTAAAATAGTGGCTCAAGTGGCTAGTCAATCCAGGGGTATATCTGGCTGCAGGCATAGCTGGATCAAGGGGATCAAAAAGACCATCAGGACACTCTTTTTCCATTTTAGGGCTCTGCTGCCACAGTGTGCTCAGGAAGGGTCTAGCCATAGTCTCAGGAAGATTCTACCCACATCCATATTCATACTGTGGCAAACATGAGCAACAGAAGCTTCCCACTTACCTCCTCTCATCCTAGCAACCTAGTAGAAAGCAAGCACCTCTTTCCAGAAGTTTCAGCAAAATGTTTCAAGCCTGATGCTCCCCTATCATGACTCGAATTGGGTCATGCACCCATCCCTGACATAGCATGTGAGTTTTCTCTTTGGCCCAATCTGGATTTTTCATACCCTTTGGAGTCACAAGGTGGCCTCAGGCCCACCCAAACGATATGCGCTGATTGGGAGGGAGGAATAGTTC